CCAAGGAACAGGCAAGCCTTAAAAGAGGAAAAGCTGCCCATCATACAGTAAGCGTGGCGGGGGGAAGGCTATCAGAGTTGCAGATTCATTTGAGCTCACTGCAGCCCTGTGAGGAGATCTAAGTTTAACACAGGCCCAGAGGATGCAAAGCCCAAGTCAAGAACAATAACTCGCTTCATGTCAAAGCCCAGTGAAGAGATTTCTTTTGACAGCTCCTGTTTCCTGCTCCCAGTGAGCTCACTGGCTTCCTGCTCAGGCAGAAGAGCACGGCCTCTGCCCCATGCACCCACAAGTTGGACACACATAAAATAGCCATTAATTCCAGCTGGCACATGGATTTGGCTGAGCCCTTTCTTCTGGACAGCAACAGGCAAAAAGAGTTGGGGAAACGTGTGGATGGATGAGACAGAAACAAGCAGCAATCCACAAACTTCCACTGTGAGCTGGCTGGTTTCCATCTCTTAATTGATCATCTACCCTCACACCAACATTTAGGCAAAAATACTTAGAGCTGATTAACATCAAAGACAGGAAGCATGTTCTCCCCAGAAGCATGAACCACACATGATAGCAGCCCACTCTTGATCTGATGAGATCAAAAAGCTAAAAAGCTGTGTTAGAGAGCATTAGAAATACTACTTTTTTTTTTTTTTTATACAGTCTCTTAGTTTACAGGAATAAACTGATTAGTTATTCTAATCTAAGCTAAGTGTGAGGACAAGCATCACAAACACCTTCCACTGAAAAGGCTGGTTAGACACACCTTTTTCCATATACAGACTGCAGGGCTTCAGCATAGTTAGAAGAACATTTACAAGATACTAACCTAAAACTGCTTTTGAAAAGGAAACATACTGGACATAACTTTGCAAGGTTATAGATGAACATTGACAAAGCCTTAGGATCCACAAGGCTGGCTGTAGTTGAATGGGAGATGGATTTAAAGGGAGAACTGGACACTGATGTGCCTGTAGGACTTGAAAACAGACAGCTGTCAGTAAAAACTGATTAAAAAAAACCCCCCTCACAACATTTTCAGCAAAGTTTTGCAATATAGTCACCAACGACTTCCTACATGAAACAGACAGCACTGGCTAAACTGAACTGAAGTGCTTCAAAAAACATTGCTGAAAGGTGCAAACTCTTAAGGACCAGACAAATAAGAAGTGAAAGCAGAACATGGGGAATTCAACCGTAAGAATTACCAGTTATTCTCAATTGTCTGATAGCTGGCAATGGAAATTTGTTTGTGCAGTGCAGAAAAGGTAACTTCTCAGGTTCTACAGGATACACCAAGCCAGTGGGGTCTGGTTCTGTGGGGTTTTTGAGGTTGTGTTTTGTTGTGGGGTTGTCATGGTTTTTTGTTAAAAGCACATCCCAGATCCCTGATTTGAGTTCCAGTGCAGTTCCACAGCACTGAAGTAGTAATCGTACAAGCCTTCTCCAAAGCCAACAGGAAGGGGGAGATTACTTTCCTGGGGGAAGTTCTCATCTGTGCAGATATGCAGCACTTATGAGGCAGTTCTGTCGTGGAATTTAGTTTATCTGAAGAGCTAAGAAAACACTTTGATTTAAACTTGTCCATTCACTCTGAATATCGAAGCAGTAGACCCATGCAGTATGACCTGGCAACTACTCGGAAACTTCAGCTTATGCATTCTCAGACCCAAAACTTGGAGTAAGTTTTAAATTATTGCCATCCTCTCTTCCCAATGTTATTATTTAGACAAGTCTGGAGAGTAAGCTGAAGTCACTGTATAACTGCAAAAAAGTTTATCTTTTGCCATAAATACTTTAGGTTTCCTTAGCCTCAATAGCCAGAATTATTGTCACAGCTCTTGGGAAACCAGTCCAACCAAAGAATGTCTGGAGCTCAAACCCCTCTTAAAATCTGATTATCTGAAATCAGGTGGGAGGAGTAAAAGAAGCCTTAAGATGAATGCAACAGCTTTCAGAAGCAATATATAGGGGTGGTTAGAAGGTGACAAACTTTTCCAGCACACGGACTGAGAGGAAATGCAGACAAGTCAGTAGTACCAGGAGATGTAAGAGTGGTAATGAAAGGAATTTGAGTGTGAAGCTTTTGTCTGAAAGCACAGAATAAAATAAAAAAAGTATTTAACTTAGGAAAATAATAAGAGGACTCAGGAAAGGGGATGTAGGTATTGTGCTGTGTGGCTACAAATGTATTAAGCACAAAATACACTCAGGAATATTTAAGTTTCTGTAACTAGTTTTCAAGTGATTCCAGTAACGTTTGTTTCTGCCATGCCTCCCAGATTCCAACAACTCTCAATAAGAGACTGTATGATAGTTTTGCATTAAAATCTTAATCAGTGTTAGGGAAGAGAGAGGAAAAAGCCAAGTCAGATCACAGAGCAAGCACAGAGTGCTTTCTTGGTAGAGTACCTCTAAGCAAAGTGTCAACACTATTCCTCAGTTTCAATATGTTTTGTGGCAAGAGATATCCATCTCTAAAACCTGAATCTAGTCTGACTAGTTAAAATAGATAGGAAACTATCTGTTCAGTTGTGAGGTCTTTATATGCTGAAGTTATTCCAAAAAACTAAGGATAACTCTCAATCAGATTCAGACACATGTGAGTTAATTTCAGCAAAATAGAAAACCTAAAATGATGGTCCAGGTTTAAAAAAACTCAAAAGAGAGGCACATCCACTTATTACTGTGAAGATTAATTAGAAAACAAATCTATCCAAACTGCCACAAATACTTCAAGCTGTCATGTTATAGCATCATTGAACAAAGGGCAAAAAACCCCTGTATTCCTAACAGATTGCATTCAAAATTTATTTTTAAATAAGAAAAAACAAGACAATGGTTTTAAATAAACATGGTATATTCTATACATCTGTAGATCAACACAACTTTACATTAGCCATTTTTATCTTTTAGTTCTGTTGCAGCATCTTTGACAACATTTGACAGTGTTGTTTTCCATTGCATAATCAACCAAACAATACCCAAATATTTGCTTAAGTGCAGCTTTATTTTTCATGACCAAAGATGGCTCTACTAATACAAAAGCACCTGTTAAACAATTATCCCCACCTAATATTCTTAAAATGAAGTCTATTCATCCTTTTTTTTTTTTTTTTGTTTCTGCTCCATTGCCTGCATAGAAATCAGCATAAAGCTAAGTTGCAAGCTAAGCTTAACTTTAGCAGTGCAATGAATGGCATCAAACTTAATGAAACAAACAGAGATACAAACATTGCCAGCAAAACTCAACTATGTAAAAAACAATATTAAAACCAGAACATTTTAGTGGGTCACAACTAGACTAGCTTTCAATGTGCAGCCTTCCTCAGGAAAAGTGCTTCTTCCTGATTCACACGAAAAGAATGAAGCACGCATCAAAAGCCCTTCTTCATACAGAAATGCCTATCAAAAGAGTTCCATGGTATAAGGCAAAAAAAGTTATTAAGGTGGATGAAGCATTTTTTGGCCCAGAATATGTTTTACAACACATAATACACATAATACTTCTGTAGCATATGACAGGTAAAGGATTGGCTCAGTAATGTAAAAATGTCAATTTTTATAAATACATGTCATTATTGCTAAGATGCTACACGTTATCACCCAACTTTCAAAGCTGCTTTGTTGGCATTAGCCTTGTAATTAGCAGCTCACATTCATGGTGACAATATGCTATTCCATAGGAAGAAAAGTAAAGCAGCATAAATACAATTATGAAAACAAAAGGCTTATGCAACATCCCTCTCTAACTTTGCTGTGTTTTTTAATTTAAAAAGTGTTGAAAGAAAACAAGTCCAGTTCACCACAAATTAGGAAGTCTCACAATGAGGCTGGAAACCAAGCTACAGGGAGCATAGAGGGGAAAAACACGGCATGCATTATAATCTAGTCCTTTTAGTCATACCACTGGAATACAAAAGTCCAATTTAAAGGCTCGACTAACAATAGAAGGCAAAAAGCCAAGAGTAAACTTAGTTTGATATTTAAATTAAGATTACAATTTTAATCAGTAACAGCAAACTCACCCAACCTTTTAATATATTCACAATATCTACTGCCATTGAATACTTAATTATGACTAGTATAGGTATGTATGTTCACTCTGAAAAGATTTAAAATACCTGCATCATGAAATTACATTCTTAAGACATCATGTAAGAAAATAGCTCATAGTGTGAAATGTTTCAGAAATGCATTTCTGCTCCCTTCTACCACCTACTGTGTCCCACGCACACACCCTCCCCCCCAGTCAAAACATTCACTCAGAGGAAAAAAAACAAATACTCCTTACAAAAGGATGGCAATATTGAAGGGGACCAGCTTGGCTAGTTACAGCACAGTGCTTAACAAGGTTCAAGAGAACCAGATCAGAGTTGGCCAAAAGATGCCCACAATACATGCCTGACCAGTAATTCCTTCCAACTCATTCTATCAAACTCCGTCCACTTTTGGTTCATTGCAATGACTGCAGTATTCCATATATACATATAAACACAAGACTCCAGCTTTACTTTGCTATTGCAAAGCATTTTTACCTTTCCATTCATTTTGTTCTGCAGCAAATAGAAGAGGTAGGCATAACGCATTTAAGAGCTTCTTTCCCAAGGTCTTGTTACTAGCTCAATTTAGTGGAATAAAACAGAAAGCAGCTGTACTTCTGTGATTTTACTATGCACAACTTTGTACAATCCATCTGGAAAATAGCTATCTGAACCCTGGATTTGCTAGGCTAGCACACCATGGAGTAAGAAGCTGTTTATATCCAGTAGGATATATATATTTTTTTTTTTTTTTAAAGTGTTTACTGCAGAGCATTTCTATAGGAAGTTGATGTCAGGACCAATTCTCTCCATTTCTATTTGTACATAGGAGCAAAGTACCATTTCGCCAAGACTACAGATGTATTTTCACAGATGCAAGTGCCATGCAAAAATAAATTACAGATACCAAAACATACAAGTAATAAAACTACTGAAGGTAGATTTTCTTAAAAGTATTTATATAAACAATTTATAATACTTTTATTCCCCTTTCTCTTTTTGACATCTACAGTTACAAAGCTGTGGCTATACATCAAGAATTTCCTCTGCAGTGCCTCCACAACGTAATCTGTAGCGTCCTGTCCTCCAGCTAATAGTGGGGTCCCACAAAGCAGATAGGAAAATATAAATTGTCATGGATTCTCTGATGAACCAAGCTACTGCATAATCAAGTTTTGAAAAACACAGAGCGCCACCCTAGGAATATAAAAAAAACCCAAGTGTTTTAACATGCTGATCAAAAGGCATTTTACAGTAATTAAAAAAATTTGTGTTATACATAAATCTATTCTAAACCTTATTATACAGATTTACATAACAATAGCATATTTTTTAATAAGCCAAGAACATGTTCCTCCTCAAGATATGACTGCCCATATTAAACATGAGAAGCTTTGCAGAATGACCCAGAAGGTTTAAAGAGAAACTTGTACGTAAAGCAAAAGGCAAGGAAAAGTGTGACAATTCCACTTTTTTCTTTTTAAAGTTTTTAAAAACTGTGTTCAAGCAGACACCGGGTTTTTGCCACAGACCCCAGAAGAACATCAACTAGACGGAACACTCTCCTGCATATTCCCAGAGGGATGAAATTCAAATAAACAAGCCTTTGGCCTATTGCATAGAAAAACAGGACTAAGAAGAAAGCTTGCAGCCTCTCTATATTTTCTGCTCCTTTGAAAATTTCCAGCTAAAAACAGAGCTGGAAATTGAAGAGGCTTCAGGAGAAGGAGAGTAGGCACAAAGCTCTTTTACATGCTGCAGGTGGTGAGAAGAGTAATTAGAAAGGTAACTGTTAAACTGGCCTTCTGGAGTCCTACAGAATCAACACAGTGCCTTAAAATTTTTTTTTTTTCCCCAGTAAGTGTTAAAGTCTACCAAAAGGATATTTTTCAGTATGATGAGAACTATTGGATAAGTTAGGATACAGCAGTAGTTGTGGATCAGATTTAGATGGAATATGGTCACAGCAGAAACGAGTCTAAACAGTTCCTGCAGCATTGGAGTAAAAAATGCTGTTCTGATTTGTGACATCTTTCTACATTAGAAGTTTTTTGAGGCCTCACTTCTAGTGATAGGAAGATAGAATTTTTAGAAGTAGGCTACAGCTGTCCTTTAAGTCCATTCTTACCAAAATAGAGTGAAAAAGACACTTAAGGCTACCTATACACTTCAATAAATACAAGACAAAGTAACAACTACGATAAAAGAAAAAAATAAAAAACATGAAATGCCACAAAGCTGCTGTTCTTGTATTGTTTAAAAGGTTAAAACTTCTGGATATGTCTAGGTAGAGCAGACTGGAAACATGAAGATTAAGGGCATGGACATGCAAACTTTCAGAGCATAGGTAGAGTCAGGTGCATATAGAAAAGAAAATACAACCAAGGACACAACTTTTTCATGCTACTATAACTGAAGCTGGAAGACTGAAGTAACAGGGTTTAACCTGCTGTTTCCTTGATGTCAAGAAAATGATTTTGTTATAATTAGGCTTAGCTTTTTGCTTAAGTAGTGGCACTAATAACTTTAATAACATCCAAAGAAAACAAAGATACATACCTGAACACCTTTTAGTTGAATGTAATCAAATATAAACCATGCCAAGCAGTGACACATGAAAAATACCATTATGTCCCACCTAAACACATGATGAGCTGCCCATCCAATAACTAGACTGGCAACAAAACACTCTGAGATTGGCTCACAAATTATTGTGGCAGGCAACATATTAATTCGCAGTTTGGCCCACCTAGAAAAAGACAAACAAATCAGTTCTGACTATGCATTATTCTTTACATTCTCCTCCCCCACTTCATCAAATGATAAGCCATCATGGTCTTTCCTGACAATGTTAGTTTAATCTCACTTAATTTACACCTCCAAATAAAATATTGGAAAAATTCTCCCTTTCAAAGATACTGTACAGAGCATTTAACAACTACCATCTACATCAGAAGCAGGTGACAGGGGTGGGTGGGAGAGGAAGTAAGAATTAGAATTTTACCTGATCATTCTGGACTGAAACTGAGAAATAGAATATGAACCAGAGTTTTGCATTGCAACTTGTGTGGCCATTGCAAACTTCCAGCCCCTGAAAAATGAATGTATTATTATAAAAAAAATATTCAAATAAGAGATGCAAAAAATAATGAGAACACCCACCCAATAATTTCATTAGGCTTGAAAAGTTCCTTTTCCATATGTGCTATGATTCTATATTATTACAAAAAATTTAAATGTATTTTATCAAGTCTCCTCATTGTAAGACAGCAAATATCGCTTGAATAATACTTAAACCAAGTTCTCGGAAACTCTTTTCTAAATTAATTGACAATGATATGGCCTAATAATTTCTAAAAGACTATATTGATAGGATAAAGCACACATCATAGGCATGTTTGCTGTATATAAGTACAGATGTTCAGGTCAGCTTCACATATAATATTTACCATGTGTTTTAAAAGAAGATTTAAACTGCACTTAAAGCAATAAGCTTACTTCAGAGTCATCTTACCGGTCAGCTATAGCTTTGGCCATGAAGTAATCTTCAGCAATGTATTGTGCAAAAGCTATCAGTCCTCCGGCTTGGTCCAAGACATCCTTCCTCATTAAGCATGACATTCCTGTTACACACTTAAAGCCAGTTAAGTTGGCTGAAATGTATGACCTTGGGTGTGAAGTTCCAAAATAAACCTGTCAAAACAAGATAAGGCTTTTGAAATTCTACATGTATTTATGCAATTACTACTCACTGACAACTTTTTCTCCCAAACAGTTTAGAGGGCAAAAACTGCCAGACGTGGCTGGTTAAGACAATGTATTTTACAAAAATCTTTACCACTGATCTAAGAAATCGATGCTACCACCAAATCTGAGAAATCTAGTAGTGATATTGTCTGTGTTTTTACAAAGCTATAAGAGGGTTTTACATCCACATATTAACCTACCATATTTAATTTGTTACTTAATTTCTGATTTATTGAGGTTGTTCTCAGAGAATACATATATTAAAAATCCATTAAGAAATTTACTTATCAGTAGGATGAATATATTATTTGGTGATAGCTGACAGACATGCTGCCTCCTTGCTTTTATAAAGATTAACCACATTACTGCATATATGTTCTTAGAAATTTATTATATGGTTGTACAGAAGCAGGAGAATTTTGTTTACTTAATGTACTTGCAAACAGAAATAGCAAAGAAAAAGATTCAGATTCTGAGTGAGTCTTTTTACGAGACTGAATAACATAAAACTAGGAGGGTCACATAAAGAGACAGCAGCAATCAGTGCAGCACTTCTCACTGCTATTCTTCCTACAGATGGCCTTCACGCAGGTTTTACTAATACAGTTACTCATTCGAGAAAAGGCATGCTCATCTTGCAGTATACTGGATCTGGAAACAAAAAGCTCTTCCAGAAGAGCAGAGAAGAACAGGACAGAACAAGTGATATGAAGATCGTGGATAGGAATTAACTGTTCACTTTCTCTTCCAAAACAGTACTGGGAGACGTGAAATAGCACTATAGAAGAACAAGGGTGAGAGAAAACAAGGTGGTGGTTCCTCTAACAGTTAACAGAACTTCCTGGTAAAGACAATTATAGATGCTCAAAATCTATATGGACTCAAAGAAAGAATGGGAAAGTTCATGTAAGAAATCTGTTCTAACTAAAATACTAGTATATTTACTAAACCTCCAGATACAAGTCTACTTCCTGCTCAGGAAGTCTCTCAGCTGAAAATTGCAGAAAGTTGAGACAGGATTACAGGAAAACAGGATATAAGCCTTGCTTGTGTTCTAATGTCCTCAAAGGCTCTCCTTATAACGCCTGCTGGCAATAAGGTACTGTGTAAGCTGGACTTTGCTCTGACTTGTCATGGCCATTTCTGTGTTCCTTTTCAGACATCAAGATAGAATTAATGGCCCTTTCTGACTAAGCACTACAAAGAGTTCTTGATTTTTAATAAATTCTTAAATAATCCATCATTTTAATCCTGTAATCTTTACTGTTTGTATTGTAAGCTTAATTATTGAATCAATGTTCAGAGCACCACAGTAGAATTTTCAAGCATTTAAAAATTATTCTAGATAGTCTGAAGTGTGACTTGAGCTGAGAATAAACACTTCTTCGCTCATAAGGTACAAGAGGCACTATACAATTTTCATTCAGCAAAATCTTGGGGAAAAAAGAAAACTTTGCGCTCACCTGTTCAAGGGTAGCGGCAAAACCCTGTCTGTCTGCAACGTAGGGAAGACCATGGACCAACCCTACTTTTTCAGTCATTTGGTTGGCCATATCTGTCAGTGTGTCTGGTGTTACTGAGGGACAAAAAAAGACAGTTCATTGACCAATTCTGTCATTAGCAGGCTGCTGTATAGAGACACTAGTTCTCATTTTATTACCAATATCAAGAGCACATATACTTTGTTACACACTCTTTTGGAGCAGTTTCAGAAAAATAATAATAGTTATTAACAGCATTATTACAATCAACAACAAATACAATGGAAACAGTTTGAACAGTGTTTTCTGAAATGGATTTTTCGCCTTTAATTAGAGAGTAAACATTTTTATATCATGAAAGTATTTTTTTCCAGATTTAGAACTTTCATTTCTATTTGTATTCTCAGTGAAAATATTCTCTAATAACTGCTTTCTTTCAGGGAGTAAGAGCAATGTAAATCAGAACATTACAACACACACCCACCTCTGATTCCACTATCACAAATCCATATGAGATCATATTTTGCAACTTCATAGCCAGGCATTAAGTTGTTAATTTTGGGGTTGATGCCAACCTTCTTGCCACCTAAAAAATATTAACATAAAACACAAATAATCTATGGTGTTCTTTTAGAACTCAGACTCATTACCCAAAATACTTAGATATATTAAGTGAAGAACAGTAAAAGTTTACCCATTAATTCTTGAAGTCCACTTTTATGAGAAGGATTTAAAATTTAAGTATTCCTTCACTTCTGTATTTTTGGTCTTAGTACAATCATGCAGAGAATTAAAAAGAAAAAAAATATTTAAATGCTTCCTCAAAATGGCAGGGTAACAAGCTGAATGTAACTGAAGTGTGGTAGAACTATGAGTTTACTACTGCATTCTCTTATCTCTTAAGACTACTGAGTATGACCATTATACTCTGCACTCATTTTAGCAGAAAAATGAAAAAGAAGCAGAATGAAGCAAGATGCACTCTTATGCTCCTAACTGACAGACATGGCTCAGTTTGTTTCACGTCAGAGAAAAAAAGTTACATTCTACTACCCAGTTCTAATACCCCTTCCCTCCTCCGATTCAAATGTAAAGTGAAGAGAGCCCTACAGTCTAAGCTGATGAAAAACGATTGTTGCAGGACCTCAAGCTCAAACACAGTCGCAACTCCAAGTCACTTCCTGAACATTCAGTTCAGCGCAAAGACAGAAATTAAATTGCTGTATTTCAGATTCAGAAGGAAAAAGCTGTAGGGGTTGCATAAATCATTCTTCCTGGAGTTTTTTTGTCCTGATGTCACAGATTGTGATTACCAACCCACTTCTTTACTCCAAATAGATGACCAAGCTACAGAATCGACATGGGCTGAACCAGACAAGTATTTATTTTAGAATACTGTATACAGAGTTGAAGACTTAAAAACATTTTACAAGTAAGAGTCTCACCTTTGAGTTGTATTGCTTACCTATGAACAGCCTAGCATCAACGTTTGGGTATTTGCCAAGGAGCTTTTTGCACACATCAATAGCTGGATCATCATGATCTTGTACACAGAGCAGTACTTCATACTAGTAAAAACAAAATGTATTTACACACACACTTAATATCAATAAGGTCTGCAGAGTAAAGCTTTACTGTACCAAACCAGAAAAATAAAGAACACTGTTACAGAATTAAAAATAAAAAGCTTTGCAAGCTTTCATGGAGGTATTTGTGTCTGCATTAACAGCAAATTCCTTGAATGCTCCTTGCTTGATATAACCCTCCTCTCTCCCTGTCGAAATTGCTGAACAGCAAGTTATCAGAGCTCCAACCCAAGGAAAAAAGTTGAGAAAATGCAAATTTCAGATCAAGATTCCTAGAAGCCATTTTTACAGTCTAAGATTTAAAAAAAATCATTCTCATTAAAAACAGTTTTCATGGACATCATTTGATAGAGCAATTGTAAACAAGAGTCCCAACTAGTGATCAGAACAGTTCTTATTCTATCACCTCAATGAACTTCATTTTCAGTAAACTACTTTGACAAAACATAATCTGAACTTCAAAAGCTGCCTAGGGCTTGATGATGGCAATCTCTGAAGTTCTTGTTCCATAAGAAGTATTTCATTCAACAGAAGACATTAACTTAAAATAAATACATTATCTCAAGAAAAAAATGTTACACTCCAAAATTCTAACTGCATTCAGAATATTGTGGAAACTTAAAATAGTTAAGCACACACCTCTACCTCTCAGAATGCAAACTCAATTTGCCTAAAGAGCAAGCAGTATTTGATTCCTCTCATTTTACCAGCATGGAAAATGTAATTTAAAGGGAAAAAGATACGTCTTATTAAGCAGACAGGTCTTTCCACCTCAATAGAACAATCCTGATAGCATGAACACCACAGAAATTATCAACTGAAGAAATTAATTCTTTACTGCTCATCCAATTAAATACATAAAAGAACAACTATTTTTGCTAGTAATTAAATAAGTAGTCTTCAATCAACAGTTGTAATTACATTTCTATATCCCTGTTCTCCAACAAATTAAACCAGAAATAACAGAAAACTTTAACATTGCAATATCTGAAAATAGAAAAATTCACAGTAAATAGCCTTTGCATGTAGTAATGAAGTAGAGCATAAAATGAAAAAGCTGCATAATATTTTGATGTTCATTATAGTAATAAAATAGCTTAAGGTATTGTTGCAGCTTCTTTGCACTGTCTGCAATATTGGTATACACAGCATGCCCCAAGTATGTTTTAAACTTGTCTTGGCCACACTTTATTGCTCTTGTTGAGTCAAAAGGATTCAAACGTACATGCCTGATGCTTTTCAAAATGCCCCAAGCTTCATTACAAAAAAACTACTGAACTTTTAATAAGTTTCAAATTGTGGGGTTTTTTGTTTGCTTTACCCCGCCTACTTCGGAGTAGGTTTAAAGCTCTCTGTCAGAATACACCAAGGAAACCAGCTGTACACCTTACACAAACCTCACACCTTTTACAACTTAAGCTGCAGTGTCAGAAGCAATTTCAGGAAGAATAGAGAAAGGAGTTTTTAATTGAAAGTAAATCACAAGTTTTATAATTCAAGAGATACACAGTAGAAAATGCAGTCCTCTTTTTATCCACAGGAGCATAAACCAAGCAGTGAATGAAGAAGCAAGCATTTGCAGATTTCTTCTTTAAGTTGTAAGCTCCTTAGAGCAAGGACAGCATCTGACACTTATCACTTAGATTACTTATCACTTGTATTACAAAGTCAAACAGCATCCAGCAACAAATGTAAGCTTGTTAACTATTTGTTTCCCAACACCAATAAGTGGCTTGCAGACTATCCTACCTACCAGCAATTTGTGAGGTACATCACCTCATCACTGAGTAATTCCTCCTTAGATGAGTCACCAATAAGAACCACCAGAAAGTTTCAAGCTATCAGTTTAGAGAATCTTTTAGATTCTCTTTTATTCCCTTTTAGAGAATCTGTTACAGCAAGGCAGTTAACTGGGGAGGGTGCCTGGCTTCTCAAAGGGTCTTTTACAGATTGAAGTGGTTCATACTGCTATAAGCACCCCAATATTGGAACACTGATTAAACAAATCTTAGCATAGAGTATGTTTCATCCCTAAACCTTGGTCATCTTCCTTTATAGACATCTTTTTAAAAAGCAGTGAGGTTTTTTTTGCAACATGTAAAGTTATGCATTTCCTGAGGAAGGAAGAACAATCCAAGACATAATCAAGTTGCATTGTTCTAGCCCAAGCTACTGATATGACTTCTGGATGTGTGGGAGGAAAAAAAAAAAGATACTAAATAGTATACATACTTTTGGATAATCCAGTTCAAAGAAGGTTTCTAAGTTGTTGATCAGGTTAGGATCCACACCCTTTAATGGCTTTAGAAGTGAAACAGCAGGCAGCTTACTATATGGCTGTTTGTCTGTGGCTTTCTTATTGAGGTGGAGGCGTCTGTAAGGAAAAATAAGATATGCAACCACATAAAGAAAATATGCTAGAGAATTCAATTCAAAATACAATCAGAACTAAGAAAGCTTGGAGTAAAAACTGCTGCAAAAAACCCCTTAGTTTTGGTTGTAGAAATAACAGCTATTTTTATATCTGTCAGCTGGTGTGTCAGAGACAATGCCTAAAAAAACCTTAGCATTTTATGTAGGTTAAATTCAACCTTACTCAGAGATTTCAGAGCAATGCATTTTGCAAAATAAGAGTATCACCTTTTTCAAACTACACAGGAGACAAGAATTTTTTTGCCTTCCTCTATAGCATTAAAAGTCAGAGTATTTTAACAGGATAAGCAGAAAAACTAATTTACTGTAAACAAGGCAAAAAAAAAAAAAAGAGAAGGGTCAGGTGCTTTTTCCTGCATTAAGTTACACAAACTGAAAGCACAGGGGAAACAGTTGATCATGCTAATCAATTTGTTAACAAATACCCACAAGAAAAGCAAAAGGATCAATCAACTGTCGCATAAAAATCCTAGAAACTGGACATCAGGTTGGGTCAGAAGCACAGATAAACTGAGAGCAATTCCAGACAGTCACTAGTATTTCAGCAATGAATATACAAAGTAAATTGGCAATCGTCACAACTCACTGACACGAATGTTTAATCCTACATTCCTGTATGAATGAATGTAAAATTAATTCAGAAAGCTTGACAGGCTTGGACAGACAACCAAATTTGCATCAAACAAATATATATATAATTTAAAGAACTGGAGAAAAATTATTTGTTGAAACATAAAATTTGCAAGTTATTGTATATACTGCATCCTGTAGTTCTCCAGCATGCATAGTAGTCAGATTGAAAGAGTATTTCATTGCAGCATATACCTATTGGTATCAATTCTTAACTTCAAACAAATTCAGAAGGACAAAGATGATGTCCTTGTACTGTTATTGAGTCCAAGCGCGGGCACTGCAGAGGTAAACTGAAATAGTCTTGCTAAGCAATTAACAGCCAAGGGCCAGCCAGACCAAAGTAAGAAAAGCAATTGTTCAGATAGCTACCACAGGCAGACGAAGATTTCCTTAACAGTCTTCACAAACATAACAGCAAACAAGGGCTTTAGTGCCAATAAGAACGGAGAGTTTCAAGAATGCAACTTTGACCAGGAGGGACAAAAGGTAGATAATGGAAAAAAAAAAAAGTACTTCATTTAAAACGGACTGTAGCAATGCATATAGCTTTGTACAGAGGCAAAAGCCTTAATAACAAGTAAAATAAGAGAAGGAAGTGGCAGAGTAAATGGAATAAGGTAAGGAGAGAAAGGATGAAGACAGACTTGAGGCAGGACTGTGATAAAGAATATGCACCAAGTGATAAAACTGCAGAATCTTGCAAGGCATCACATAAAAAAACCATGCTGGCATATAGGATTATGCAGATGACTGAACTACATAAAGAAAAGTCTACACATGGTATAAGAGAGGGAAGCCTTGGAAGACATGCAAGTGAGGCATGCATCATTGTCAGGATCCATTCAGCTATGAAATTCCATACACTGAGACAGAGTATGGCTCAGTCTGTCTCTAACATGCTATCCTGAAAGTAACAGTCCAGCTCATGTCCTATTCATAATGCTGCACAAAAGTGGCAATCTGCCATCCTGAAAGCACTGTGGTATTGTGACACCAAGGTAAAGCAATTTCCAGGCCAGTAACTGCAATGCTCTCTTAGGTTCTACGGAGCAAGAGGCAAATTGACAGTAAACCAGCTCATTTCACACTGAGAAGGACTGTTTGTGAAATGGCATATTCTGAAGAAGAATTTACAACTGAAAGCCTACCATCACCAGAAAAACAGATCAGCAAGCAACAATATTCAAATTAAGGCTAATTAAGGCTAACATTTAACATGGAAGTAAAAATAATATACTAAATTTAAACATCACCATTGTTGATGCAGGTATGTTCTAAATGAAGTTGTGCATTACAGAACATTCACCAAAGTCTCCAAAGTAGAGACAGGATGAAGCAGTATGTTGATATTTTCGAGCACTAACTTGTGGTTATGGTGGCTCAGTTCTCTCAGACAGGTGTTGTCATCACAGTGTTCTTCATTACCACTGAGCATGGATGACACATGCAGTTCAAAATTATAAAGGAAAGCAATCCTTTCAAAGTTTGCATCAGGTATAGATTATCATATATTATTTTGCATTGAAACTAGTGTAAAGCAGTCAAAACCATTAACTATACAGATGTACTTGCTTGGCATTTTTTTTCTAACTCTGCCTAATGCAGTAAGCTGCAAAAAAACATTACACCAAGGAATGTACAGCAACCTTGAGCTCTGAAGCAGACACTGGCAAAGCACTACTTAAAGGCACTTTCAGATCCCATGTGTGAAAGGCTAGTAGCCAGGTTACCTATGAGCACTTTTGTATCTGTATTGATGTATTGTATGGATGTATTAAATTAATCAGCCTGCAATCCCTAGTGAAACTGTGAAATTCCTTCAAAGCGGTCTGGTGCTGGTGTATGCAGGTGGGGAAAGAAAAAAGCAGCAGGATGCATAATGGTGTCAGGAACTACAAATATCCTATTATGTAAGTAGAATCTGAAAAATTTTCTTAAAGTTAGTTCCTTAACATGATAATAATTAATCCTCAGAAGCAACTGCAATCTAGATTTCTTCCCCCAGCAGACATAGAAGAAAGAAAGTATCTCCAAAGACAAAATCCAGACTACTGAGTTATCACTGCCCAGTGCACTACCTGATGAATTCTTCCTTAACTGAACCAAATTAAGCAAAAAAACTTTTCTTTTAAAGGTCAAGAATATACTTTCTCTCTCCCCACCTCATTAAGGGCAGGAGAGTATTCTAGCAAAAACAAAAAGCTTGCTACAGTAGACAGACTGCTGAGTCTCTCAGCTGAGATAGTAACATACACCTTTTAAAAGCAGATGAAAAAAGCCTGAACACTCTTTATTGATTCATGTCAACCCTCCCTCAACAGCTCGCTTGAAGAATTATCCTATTAGGGGAAGGCAAGTAATTCTTGGTCAGAAATTTGCAACAGACACTTAAATATTGCAAGCCAGCACTAACAAGATGCAGGAAGCACTGAAGACATCCTTCGAAGGCTACAGTTCCACAGGCCATTGAGTTAAGCTAGCAGATCATTCCTTCTGAAATGGGCTGTTTTCCTGCTTCTAATTCTGAATTTACACACTCTCCCCTTCCCCAGTTCCTTTTCATGTTAGTGAGCTGAACCATCTTATACAGGTGTTTGTGGAGTGTTGGTCTGGAATGGAATAACAGACAGGAGATTGTGTCTCGAACAAGAGAAATAACATATAATATCATCCTGCTTCTTTTGACAACAGAAGGGCTAAAAGGATGAGCTCCCCATATCATCTTTACTTTTTATACATATATTGTGTTGAAACATTTCCAAATGTATGTACCTTGATGCACAGAAGAATAAACGGAATTTGCTACAGGTACACCACACTGGTCAGTGCACTAAGTACAACTGAAAGACAAATTGGAGGAGTTCAACAGGTACTACAGACATCCACTGAATTCATTGAAGGCTTAACAACACCCTTGCTTCTCAAAGGCTAATATTATCCCATTTAAAATCCTACCATATTAATGTAACAGTATAAAGACAATTCCATATATGAAGACATGGATAACTACCAAGTAAGTTTCATTATCTCACAGCAGTAACTTATTTATGCGTCATCTGACCACTTTACATTAAGTAACCAAGAATAGTTTTTATATAAAAATATGTAAAAAATAATATATGCATAATTATATATTCATGGGTGGAACAAGAATTTATATATATATAGGAATAATAAATTCAAGACAGCATTTGTCTTGGGAACTACATAGCCAGTTTTTGCCTGTCTGTGAAGGAGGGAGGGCAGGGGTCTGCATCAGCAGCCTTTGTCATCTCCAGTCCACCCCTCCAGGAAGCAAAACAAAACACTTGGGCATGCAGGCACAGAGAAGCACAAGAGGAGTCTCTGCAACGACCCAACTAAGCCTAAATAACACACTATTATCAAGCAGTTATTTCTCGTACTGCTCTACCCAGATATAAGCACACAGGCATATTACTGTGCATTAAGAGGTCTACAACACTATTACTCCTTTCCAGGGACCTCCTAGGCTTCAGATAGATTTGAAAACTACAAAGCAGATCAAACAAAAACTAACATCACCTGTGGCCAACAGGCCTCCTAGAAAATGGACAGAATTATTCTTAAAGCAAGAACTAAACACCTTGATCTTGTTTTCAACCTTTTTTCCCCTAGAGTTAGAGCTTCATAACACAACTGAACCAGTTTAACTACAGGCTGCTGCTCAGAGGCACTCTCTCTTTCCTCCTTTCCCCTCTTTCTGGGATGTGTTACACTTCTCAGTGGTGCTGAGACTTGTCTGATCCCACAGTGACCTAGCTGAGATACGTAGAGCACCACATAACTATTACCCCATTTGTAATGTTTGCATTTTGTCAGTTTAATTTACCAAGCATACAGTTTGAAAGGATGTGTCAGGACAATCATGCAGCTTTACCAGCTGCAAAGATCCCCCAGTGTTCTTTCTCCTCTGTGCTGCCATCAACAGCAGCCAAACAAGATATCATGCCAGTACTGATGCCCGTACAATCCTACTTCAACTCACTCAGTTAACAAAAAATTAAATCTGTGTTTTTTCCTTCCACATCAGGCTGTCTTCTGCCAATTTAGAGTTGGGGCACCTTAGGGATGGCTTCAAGAAGCTCCAGAGCATGTTCAAGAAGGTGGCTGTGAACATGCTGCCAAGATCAGAGAAGAGGAGGAAGAAGGTCTCCTTTCTCCTCAGGCTTCAGTGGGCTTCCAGAAGGACTAAGCAGCATAAGCCCATTTACCATGGAGTCAGAAGAGGACCAGTGTCAGCACAAAGGAAGCATTAGGGGCACAACACCTTCCTCTAGAAACATACACAAGGATTAGGGTCAGTCCCCTGAAAACTCTTCCAGAACCAACC